ACACACAGAGTTGCTCCGTGCGAGAATCGAACCTGCGACACGTTGCGGGGCAGCCAGTTGCCCAGCCACCGCGCCAACCGTGCAGTCGTTTAATAGTATTTAGTTCTACATTTCTTAATACTGAGCGTTGTAGTAATATACAATAGTTGGGTTTTTGAAGGTTTTGAGTAACAGACAACTTACCAAATTGGTAAAGTTGTAGGCGTTGGAAGTAACTGTAATATTTTATGTAACTTATTTTACAAAACCCTAACGTTTAAAAAACCAAAATACAAGAAAAGAAACTGTATCAACACTTAAAAAAATAACCTCAATTTCAAACGAGATATATTAGCTAATCCGCCATTGCAGTTTCGCCGCCATGACACATGGCGCGCATCGTTATCATCGCGCGTACCACAAAGACAAATTAGCATAGCCAACGTGCGGATAATCGCGACCATCCCACCTGGAGGGTCGCGGGACGATACACGGTACACTTTTAAACAATGTTACCACACTTCTTTGTGCAAAATCTTTTGTTTCAAAGTTAAGGGACTGGGATATGAAACGTACTTTTTTAGTAAATTAGAATTTTGTAAAATATTACAAAATTATAAAAATTCTAAAAAAAAAGCTAATAAGCTTTGATTATGGGTTGAAGATGTAATGTATTCTAGCCGTAATCTTGTATTAGAGAAAAACTATGTGTTTCTAATCTTACATATATCTTATACTATTACATAAAGCGGAAGAGTTTGTTTTTTGTTTGTTTGTTTGTTTGTTTGTTTGAACGCGCTAATCTCCGTAACCACAAGTCTGATTTGAATATTTTTTTTTAAAAAAAAACGTTGCCCCACACCAGGATTTTCTCCTGTGTCGTGGGTGCGTTTACAAACATACAAGTTCACATACACAATGACACCCAGACCCGAAACAACAATTTGTGGATCACACAAAGTGTTGTTCCGTGCGGGAATCGAACCCGCGACACGTTGCACGGCAGCCGGTTGCCCAGCCACCGCACCAACCGTGCAGTCAATTCTTTTTGTGTTGGACAGTGCATTTATTGAGTACTAGCTGTGCCCGCGACTTCGTTCGCGTAGAATAGTGACTATGAGCAGCGTTTTTTTTTTAAATATATACTTATTTTTATTTTAGATTTGGATCATAATCACAGTCATTTTGGGTAGCTAAAAAACCTACTTTACTGTAATGCTTCTCTATATACAATATTAGACGTATGGCCATCGGCGGTGAAAAAGCATACAGGCTGCTGGGATTGCTAACACGGGACAGAGCCACATACAATTGACCGTGCAAAAAACAGCTGATACTTAAACCTATACCCACAACTTTTAGAGTCTGACCTTGAGCTTTATTAATTGTCATGGCGAAACATAGGCTCACTGGAAACTGAATTCGTTTAAAATTAAACGGAAAATTTTTTGGAATGAGAGGAATCTGAGGAATAAAACCACTATCACCTTTTCCGCACCCTGTTAAATATAT